CTTTAATACATGGGTACAAATTTATTTAGCACCTGATCTGAAAATATGCAATTAAAACCCCTCTTCTGTCTTTATAATGTCAAAAAAATTTCAATCTAAACATTAATAATGAAAACCTATGTAACTATTACACACAGTGTAGTTGATTCTGTCTTTACTGGAATTCAAAGTCTTCGAAATCCTCACCAAATTCAAGTAACGAATCTGTAGCCACTGTGGATACTCGTGGATTTTGGATAAATTAAGTTCTGTACATCACCAAGAGGACATGAAATGATCATTTTATTACATTAGGATGAAGTTCATGACTAGTTATAATGCTGCCCTCCAGTGGCAAGATGGTGCACGCCGGTACTGTTTCGCTCACTTTCTGTGGTTACCCAGTTGCACCGAATTGTGGCTGGAAGCGCACCGAAAAGTGGGTGGCTGAATCTCCCAGTATTTCACTGGATTTGCATATAAACTGATCCTAGTGTAAAGGGCTTTCTTAGCCCGGGTTCTCGAAGGGCAAAAGTCGTTTACTCCAACATAAGTGATGCTGTTGGCATGTAAGTACACCACCTAAAAGAGGAAGTGAAGTTGATTCAATCTCTGTACGCATTATGTTTCAATAGCGTGCTTATTTGTGATTTACCTGCAAATATTTCAGGTTGTTCAAGCCTGGAGGAACTTTCTTCAGTTTATTGTTATCCAGATGAATTTCTCTGACTTTGGTAATAGCAGCGAAACTTCCGTTTTCCACGTACTTGATTTGATTGAAGTCAAGCCACAGCCTGTAAAAGTCACTGGTCATTAAGTTGTGTTCTGCTTTTATCCACGAGGAGGAGTTTGTTTACCTTACCTTTGTAGACTTTTTAATCTTAAAAAATCCTCTGACTCCACTTTGGCAATCTTGTTATAGTCCAAGTGAAGTTCAGTGAGGGAAGATGGCAGATCTGTGGGATTTAGATTAATAAACATCTCAGTTATGAGACTTGTGTGCTCACACTGAAAAACTTGTG